GGCCATCGCTTCGCTTCGGCCACCTCGAACACCTCTCTTCCTTCGAATCGATCGTGTGGACAACACACACGCGCGCGCACGCATCGCGAGTTGTTTCTCCCTGCATTGCTAGGTTTAAATTTGGTGCAGGCGAGAGATCGAGGGCCGCGTCGAGCGTGTCAGCTCTTGGAGAAAGGGGCAAGATCCTCCTGGTAAGGGAGAGAGAGAAGGGAAGGAACCGCGCACCACCATCTTCGCTAAGAAGAAAGATTAAAGACCCGAGCAAGTACGCCCCCACCGGAATGATGGATGCGATCCGTGAGACGCGGGCGCCGCTCTTCGAGTAGGTGGAGACTTCCATTTTCATTCCTACGCTTGTTCCACGTCGTCCCTACCGTTTCTTCTCTTTCGCGTTCCTCCCGCGTCTGTACGCTTTAATCAGCGATACGCCTCGCGCCGGGCTCTCTTGCTCGTCTGCGCTGACATCGAGCCGGAGACTCGATCTCCCTTCGTGAACAGCCCCTGCTGCTCTCTCTCTCTCTCTCTCCCCCGCAGTCACTTTTCAACATCAAAGACGGAGAATTTCGTGGCGGCGCATCGCTCTCATCGAGCGTTTTCTTTGGACACGGGGGACCATCGACAGGAGGGGACAAATGACGAGGAATAGCGGGCAAAGAAGAAGGAGAAGAAGAGACGGAGGAAAAACGTCTAGGTCCTCTATGCGAGAGAGAAGCTCCGAGTTCGTTCCAAGTAGGCTTCTCGTAAGAATATCAGCGCGTGAACAATCTAAATGGTAATCCAACACCACACCCTCTTTGCAAAAACTGAAAAGCACGATGGCCTGGCAGCGCGGAGTAGACTTGAGTGGCCGACAGACGAAGCAGAAGTACTCGAGCAAGAGGTAGAGAGGAGCAGCCACGAGAAGGCGAGACAAAAAGCGTTAACAAGGCTCCGATGCGCGTCCAGCTAATTCTATAACCCTGTTCCAACCCTACCAATTTTGCACCCTTTTAACTTCTATTCCATAATAAACCGTTATTTTTACCTCTTCAATCCACACCCTTTCCACCCATCTTTTTCTTTATCGTCCTCGAGTTTTCGAATTCGTCGTATTTTGTAGGTAGACACATCGGTCCCAGTTTTTCAACCACCCCTTCTTAATTTTGTCTCTATGCCCGCGATCACTAAGTATTTTTTTCTTGCACCGGGGGGAAAGAGAGTGGGCATTCGGCGACGGTCAGTCGGTAATTATCTCTGGCGCGTGTAAAAATAATAATTAGCTCCCATCGTTGCATTAATTAAAGCCCCCACCAATGGAAGGTTTCCTTCCACCTCCAAGCACGAACGCTTGCCGCCCGTAATTACACGTCCCTTACGGCACTAACCACTGTCCCGCAAAGGGCGACCGCTTTACACGCCCACGACACCCAACACGATTCCCTCTCGGTACTCTGAGTTTCTTGTCTTGATCGTGTTCAACCCTTTATCCGCCGTATTCTCAAATCTCACACAGCCGCAGATCCCTCGTGTGTTTAACTGTTTTTGTCTTTTTGGTGTAAGCTGTGTTTATACGGAATTACTTCCCACAACAAATGCCTCGTGTTTAGTTTTAAAAAAATCGATAAGGAAAATAGAGTTCCTACTGTTTTCGGCTTTCGGATGTAAACCGTGTCCACGTGGAATTATTTTCCCAACTAGCTCCGCCAGACGACGATGCACAAGGGCACGGCTTGCATCCGAAAGCTTTTCAACGTTTAAAGAATTTTAAACGTTTATTGCCTAGGTTCATATGTCGCGTTGGAAAGAAAAATTATTACACATAAGGTCCTTTTTCACCCAAAAGTGTACAGTCAAAACGAAGACCGCTCTAGGGTTAAGAACTGTACGAAGCCTGAAATCTCCGATTGACAAGACGTAATAAAAAATTCGGCTGGAAAGTTTGTCGTCGGAATAGAATTGCCGAAAACAAAGAAGAAACATAATACGTAGATCTAGAGTGATTAGGTACTTGCCTGACGCACCTGTTTGAACTGCTCTTCGAAGCTCCAACTGGTCTGTTGCTGGTGATTCGTTCCCGTCGAGTTGCTCTGCGAATGATTGCTGCTCTCCCGTGGCTCGCCGCCGTTTCTCGCGCTGCCCTGCGACGATTCGCTGGAATGCGAGCTGGCCGACGATGTTACCTGATTCCCGACGCCGCTTCCGATACCGCCACCCGACTGCGGATGACTGTTTTGCGAGTGATGCTGCGGCGTCAGGAACGCCGCTGGCGGTGGAAACGAGAACGGTAGATTGAAACCGCTGCCGCCCATCGCGGCTTGCAGTGCCTCCAGACCGCTTTTATTGTTCAGCGCGTCCACGTCCGTTGGCTGGGGACAATTTATTCGGCCAAGGGTTAGATGAGAGTAAGTACGACGCTCGAGGTGGATGGTAAGATGCGACGTTATAATCGAGGAAGTTATTAGGTTTCTTGGAAAATTCGTGGCGGAATTCGTTTAGAGAAAATGTCACACTTTGACCCTTTCGTGGCCAGTGGGACACATGTTTTATTCGAGCACTCCAACCAAAATTGATCGGAGTTTAGTGTATCGTTACAGACGAGACGATAGGTCGATAAATATGAAGAGAATGATGAAAGAAATAAAAAAAGAATTCGTTCGCGAAAGGGTTAAGGTCAATCATTTGCTCATTTTTTTAAGATATTAAAAAAATTTCTAGGTGTTTCCGTTATTTTCTCCAAGTGCAAAATTTCCAGCTTCAAATTTTGCACTCTAACGTATCCGAACAGTAAGCTGTCTAAACCATTACGAACGCGTTCCGGATAATCTAATATGTCTAATGAAAATCTTTAATTATTACGCTTCGTATATTTATAAGCAGAGCTGGCAAAAAATGGTCACGTTTTCTTGCGCGAAGAAAAAGAGAAACACGCGTTACCGCCACGGAGGCGCCGCCGTGATACTTGCGACAGTTAATAGCGACACGGTTACGCCAGAATTACGCGATTTTCCGTGTGTCACTCTTCTATTCGTTTTTTCTTCTTCTTCTTCTTCTCTCTTCGTTTTGTTTTTAAAGAAACAACGCCAGATTTTTCACTCGAGAAACGCAATATGCTTCGAGCTGAACAATGATACGTAATAATCGTCGAGTGTGTCTTTGAGGACAAAAGCAACTGCAGCACGCCTTTTCCACTGACCTCCATTTTCAGCTTGGCCAGAAAGTGCGGATGGTGCGCGCCCATCAGGCTGTTCAAGTGTGTTAATGGAGTAGGTGTACCGGCCTGCGCGGATGCATTATCCGACGAGGAGTGCGTGTTACCCTGAAGTGGTTGCTGAGGTAACTCTTCGCCGCTCTCTTCGTCCTGAAGGTCTGGATCCGACATATCCTCCTCCTGATGCGACTGAAAACATATTAACGATCCTGGTTAGTCACCTTGTCACCATTACTTTCCACGGGATTATTACGACTTAATAGAGACGTGCACGAAAAAATATTTATCAACCTTTCTCTTGCGATAAATAATGCGAGCGGTGATCTGTTTCTTTAACCCTTTCGCTACCGTTGGGGTCTGTAGGCGCTTTGAAAAATTTCTCGCACTCTTGGCGCCTATAGGCGTTTGGAAAGTTTTCTCAAGCTGTGCCCTTGAGCGCTTCGAAAATTTTTGCGCACTGTGTTTTCAACGCCTACAGGCGGCGCTTTAAAAATTTTTTCAAACTGTGCCCTTGGGCGCCTATAGGCGTTTTGAATATTTTCTCGCATAGTACCTTTGGCGTCTATAGACGTTTTCAATATTTTAGCGCACTGTGCCCTTGGTGTCTATAGGCGTTTGAAAAGTTTTCTCGCGCTGTGTCCTTGGGCGCTTTGAAAATTTTTACGCACTGTGCCTTGGGTGCCTATATAGGCGCTTTGAACATTTTTGCGCACTGTGTCTTTACCACCTATAGGCGGCGCTTTGAAAATTTTCTCAAACTGTGCCCTTGGGCGTCTATAGGCGCTTTGAAAATTTTTGGGCACCGTGTCTTTAGCGCCTATAGGAGCTTTGAAAATTTTCTCAAACTGTGCCCTTGAGTGCCTATAGGCGGTTTGAATGTTTTCTTGCCCTCGACGACTATAGGCGCTTTGAAATTTTTCGCGCACTGTGCCCTTAGACGCCTATAGGCGGTTTGAAAGTTTTCTCGCACTGTGCCTTTAACGCCTTAAAAATTTTCTCACACTGTGCCCTGGCGCCTACAGGCACTTTGAAAATTTTCTCGCGTTGCGCTATTGGCGCTCTTTGACATACTTTCGCTTAATATAACTAAGCCTCGATTCTCGTTCTTTACATAATTGCACGCTTAATTTTCAAAACGATAAATTTCACAATATGAAGTTGAAGCTTTAATTTAAAAATTTTTTCAAAACGTCAAAACAAAAGATTGAACATCTACTGTCTGCCACATGCGTCAAGTACTAAAATCTACCGCAGGGAAAGGGTTAATAGCTTCAGTTTCAACTTCGTATATACTTATTGTCCGTACGTGACAATGATTAGCTGTATTCAGATAAAAGCTCTAATTCTCACGTCATTCTAGCAACAGCATACGCAAATTTTAACCCGATTCCACGGTCGTGCGGGTCGAAGGAAAGTCCGGGAGCGTCGATACGCGATATCGACCGTCCAGGTATAATCGTGGGTAAGGAGGGCAAGATATCGAGGCATTAAACATTAATTAGGAAAATGGCGAATAGTGACGCGTTCCATACGCCAAGATAGCCGCTTATCACTCAACATTATTATTCTACGGGTGTCATAAGTGTTTTACGGCTGTGCCCGTTGCACCGGTGTCGAGATAAAACTATACAAAGTGACATTACCGTGAAACGGAAATGAGCATCGTAAAAAAAAAAAAGCGCGTGGAAAAAACGGATGTTCCGTTGTCTCGATGACGGGAATCGGTTTCGTCTTACGAACGGGCACAATTATTATTCTTCTCGAACGGTGAAATAACACGGCGAATGTAATTGCCCTCGGAATTATCCAAAGATTCTGATTGTCGGCGCTTCTTTCCTCCCCTTTTCGGCGAATGTTTCATTTCTTTTCCGCGTATCGCTCCTCGAATCTGCGTGAGCTGTTACATTCACCTAGGAATTGGCGTTATCGCCAGGCCAACAATTGCTTTCTCACGATCCTATCACCCAGTGTTATTAGTTGTTGCCACTTTCTGCGGGTAGAATGGACGTAGATTACGCTTCTGTGTATAGCCGCGAGTCACCACGATAATTTCCTCGCTCCTACACTTCGCTGTTTCCTTTTGGAAATGTCCTACTGATACGGAAACTTTGCCCAGAGCAAACGATCGTTCTTCCGTTCTGATTCAGGAAAAAACTTGCGACAAATCTACGCTCAATTTCAAACTCATCCGATCGAATATTTCCCGCCCTTTTTTCGAAGGACAAGCAGATGCTCTTCCAAGGAAGCAAGGAAACAGAGATTCAAAGGGTGTTCACTCGGAGTAATCGGAACTATTCCACACACTGTTGCAACGAAATAACTGCTCTTCAGTTCAGATCGAGAGAAAACACTTGCGACCAATTTAAACTCACCCACCGCAATATTTCCCGCCTTTTTTCAAAGGACAAGTAGATGCTCTTCCAAGGAAGCAAGGTAACAGAGATTCAAAGGGTGTTCACTCGGAGTAATCGGAACTATTCCACACACTTTTGCAACGATATAATTGCTCTTCAGTTCAGATCGAGAGAAAACCCTAAACCTGAATTTGAAACTCACGCAGCGAAATATTTCCCGCCCTTTTTTCGAAGGACACCTATAGGTACTTTTCCAACGGAGCGAGGAAACAGAGATTCGAGAGGCGTTCACCAAGGTGTGCCCCCTTTATCTACGAAGCGAGCATGCAAATAGATTCATCGAAACCTTCGAGTGTATTCAAATGGCGCGGCGGAACGTCTACCTGAAAAGGGCGGACTTGGATAAATATATACCTATCGAATGCAGGTGCCGCGCGCACCGTATACCAACCGATGGTACCCACGATCTAAAACAGAATCGTGATCGAAAGAGAGAGGAACCATCGGATATACAAGGACGGGTCCCCTCTGTCGGCGTTTCGAGCACGTGTGATAATATTGACCCTTCGAGGTGGTCACCGATGAACGATGGAATCTTCGCCTGATGGAATCCTAATCAAATACGCGGCAACCTCTAATGGGACGATCTTTCAGATTCTCTCTTCTTCAAGCCACCGTCATTCTCATCAACACACACGTACACGTGTGTATTAATAACAACCGCGAGTTTCGATATCGTTTTCCAATACGCAACAAACAAACGCACACGCGCTGTACGTGTCCCATTCTGATAAGGCGGCGTGAAAGTTTCAGCTACCGCGATAGAAGCGAGGAGTTTTCGCGGAAAAGAATAGGCACATTGTAGAAAGCGGAGTGTCAGGAGAAATGAATGACGCCAGTTAACGCTCTCGCATCGGTATTCCCGCCGAGCGACGGCCTACAAATCATATCATTGAAGAGGCTCCAGCGGGGAGAGGTGCCGTCATTACGATAATCACGGTAGAGGCGTCAAGGGTGTTCTATTGTTCTAAACTGGAACCGTGACACGTAGGTGTTCGAATCTCTGCCAGAAGACCGGAAACATTGGCGCCTTCTTCGTTCGAGGTCCTCTCTGTCGAAAACGCACCGTATTTTCTAACATTCCTCCCCTCGGGTGACTGTATCAATTATTCATAGAACACGCTAGAAAATTAAATAGAACCGAAAAGAATGTGAATTTTTTTTTCTTCCATCTGTCAATAACGAACAAGTGATTTCGCGAGATTTCGCTAGAAAACCGTCTTTAAAAGGAACAAACAACGGGTTTCGTACGATCTCTCTGTCTCTTTGCGATAACAATCGAAGATGAACCGAATAAATCAATAGAGAGCGCGACGAGTAGGAAGAGTGGTCCTGGCTTAAGACAGGCCGGCCAAAGCTCCAGGTAAAACTGTTACCCTTGGCAAACAAGTGGGCGCGGCCAGTTCCTCTGGAAGAGTAGAGGAATCACTCCCACGTTTCTGTCACCGGGAATACCTGTGTCTCCCCCTGCATAATTCGTAGGTTCGCCTACCGAAAACACGTTCCTCGTGGGCAGCTAATCGAATCACGAGAGCTCTATTCACGCGCCTCGACATCCAACAGAACACACACTCTCTCCCTCTCTCTCTCTCTCTCTCTCTCTATATTAGTCACAAAAGCTACACCTGTACACATCGTATCGAGAGTCTTCTCCGCTTTATTCGAGCACAAGCGCGAAGCCAAACGACGTCCAATTATCGGCTTGACGTCTATTTTCGATGCGAGACAGATCGCGGAGGAAAAAATACAAGATCACGCGTAACGAATGGTTTCTAAATGTTGCACAGAGGTCCAATTTACAACAGTCACGAGCAGTTTTCTAGACTCTTCTGAAACGCGGATACACCAATCGTCTACATTTTTTGTTTCCGATCGATCAACAAAAGGAGAACGAAACAGTGTCAACCGCTGGTCGCACGCGGACGTCACATGAAAAATACCTCGTGAAAGAGGGGAAAAAACGAAGAGAAAAATGACAGCTTTGTTCGAGTTAAAATATACAATTGTGTACGCGATGGTGACGAGATGATAGACCGTGACCAAACTGATACCGCGGTGCAAGTAAGGTAGATACTTACAAAAGAGGCGAGAGTATGCAACGAGGAACGAACGTTCTCGCGAAGTCGACCCCCGGCTTCATGAAGACGTTTTAACGAGATTTAATATATCCTAGGCACGACAATAGCTAAATTTACCGGGGAGGCCAGGCCGCGACGCGTTATCCC